TTTAAAATATCACAGATTTTAGACCTTTTTAAGAACTCTTTAAAGAACTGCTTAAGTTCAATCTTTTATTTTCTTTTTTCCCACTTCCGGGTACGAAAGACACACCTGTTTCTCTTCCCTTGGTCACGTTGGTTGTTTTCTTTAAAGAATTTGAAAATATAACAGATTTTAGACTTCTTTTAAACAAATAACAGCTTAATTGTTTAATTATATTTATTTCTTTAATCCTTTAATTTTTAAATGTTTTAAATTTCTTTATTTATCTAACTTTGTCCTGTTCAGCATTATGACAGGGAACTGAAATCTGAGAACTGTCCTATGCTGAAAATATTTGCTCTCCCAAGGGAGGTTTTATGGGTGAAAATCCCCCTTGAATACCCAACCCTGCTTTATTTAATTATCTAATTATTTTTGTTGCAAAACTTTACATTTATCCACCAATGTCAAACCTGACAGGGGGGGCAGGGACTTAATTATAAACCTAGAAATGGGAGAAAAAAAACCCTAATCAGCCAATGGGGTAGTCGTAGAACCAGTTAGGCAACAAAAAGTCTTCCAGGTTTTTTTTTTTTTTTTAAATATGATCATGTTCTCCTCGAATCTAGCATGGTTTAAGAGGAATGTTAATTTTTCTGTGTCCCTCACATAAATCTTGTGTGAGCAGTTCCATACATGCTAAATGTTTGATTACATATATGAAGTTACTATTTTAATAATAATTATTTTGATTAACTGACAATTGGCCATTTTTTAAATTATGTTACAATAATCTCTATTTATAAAAAGACAAAAAAGGCACAAGAGAAAAATGTAGTTTTTTATTGTTCCTCCATATAAGATTAAATTATTTTCAAATGCTAAACTTAACAAAAATGTATCGGAAATAAGAGTAACATGCGAATGATGCAAGGTGCAAATGAGATCCTGTCTTTGAAAACCACAAACAGCCCCAGAGTCCAACATTAGCAGCAAAAAAACTTTGTCTTGGTGCCAAGAATGTGGTCCCAGTTCTTGCTTTGGTTATTTGGAAAGGTCCATTTGTTACATATGCAGTTGTTGAAATAAGATCAAGATTATACATTAACTCTTTTAACTTGTAGGTAACTGGATCAGAAGTTTCACTCCCTTTTCTCTGCCCACAAAAAGGTTATAAAGTGTAAAGCAGGTTTATGAATAATGAGAGTATCTTGGAGTATCAGAGTGATTTGTGCAGCATTCTGAGGAACCAGACCTAAAGAAGGACAAGAGGTGTTCCAAAAATGAGAAAAACTTCAATTCAATCGTATCAAAACTTTGGTTTCTCAGTGAAAATTAAAATTCCCACCAGATAGATAGATAGATAGATAGATAGATAGATAGATAGATAGATAGATAGATAGATAGATAGATAGATAGATAGATAGATAGATAGATAGATAGATAGATAGTTTTTGTTCCCATACTTTAATCATACCAAGTAAACAAAATGACTCGTGAAACAACCACATGGAATGACAACAAATACGTTTTTTCGTCTGTTTTTTCCTTTCAAAAAGTATTTTGAGTTCATTTTTCTGTACATATATTTTTTCTTGTTTATTGTCTGTCATTTTTTTTATTTGATACATTTTTACTGCGTAGTGTTGTCAAGAATTCTGCAATACGGCTGTACATGTATTATAAAGTCACATAAAACTATTAAACACAAAGTTCTAAAACTAAAAAATAAATAAAATACATTTGTCATTCATCCCAGACTGACAACTCGGCTGGCCAATAAGAAACTAAATCCGTCGACACGTTTTTGTTTTGCTTACGTGGACACCGGAAGTCCCGCACTCCCGGACTTCCGGGTTTGAAATTCATCCTTCGGCAGAGATTGTTTTGGGTACGATGGCGGAGGACCCTTCCTCGGCCCTCCGGGTCTCGGAGATAAAGGACCCCACGGCGCTCTTCGAGCGGTACAACACGGAAGAGATCCGCTGGGTCGAGCGCAAAGTCCGCGGGGAGATCGAGCAGAAGAAGGAGGAGCTGCGGCAGATGGTGGGCGAGCGCTACCGGGACCTGATAGACGCCGCCGACACCATCGGGGAGATGCGGCTGTGCTCCGAGAGCGTGGTCCGCTCCCTCCAGGACATGCAGCAGTACTGCCGCCTACTGAGACGCGGCCGGGCCGGGGCGGGCAGCCCCAGGCCGGAGGTGAGCGAGCGGAGTGACCGGGGAGCACAACACAGGGCCGGGCCGAGGAGGGGGCCCAGAGGGGGCCTGGCCCCCTCAAACTAAATCCCCCCGAAATTGATCATTGAATTAGGGTGACCATGTTTTGATTCCAAAAAGGATGACACTTTGCCTCAAGAAGGATCCAGACAGGCTTCTCAGATGCTTTATTTGACCTCAATGGTACAAAAAGAACTTCAGAAGTAAAACACAATCTGTAACAACCAGTAAAAAAATTGTAGCCATCCTTTAAAATACATAAGTACAATCTAATAATCTTCTAAATATCACCTCTGCTGTATTAGAAAATACAGCTTTAACTAGATACCTCTGAATACCCTCTGAATGGAATAAAAGAAACAGTCTCACAAAGATACAAAAAGCATCTAAGTCCTTTTTGTCCCACTTCTTGTGACCGGGACAGTTGATTTAAGCATACATTTATGGTCCCATGAAAAACAGAGAAATCTGACATTTTCATAAATTTATAATAACTCCTCGCCCCAGACTACAGAGGACGTTTGGTCACCCTAAGTAAATGTCCAAGGCGATGTCATCTCCTCTTGTTGGTCCTGGTATCTGAGTCCATCTGGACTCCAGGTCTTCAGCGTCCTCCACAGAAAGAACAGAGAGGCAGAAAAGCCTACAGTTGTTCCAGGAGTCCAGAGTTTAAGCAGCAGACTGAGTCCCAGCTGGACCAGATGCAGCCCTGCTGCTGTTCTCTGGCTGGAAGAGATCTCTAAGTGGAGTTTAGAGACCAGCCCCCCAGATCCAGGGTTCAGGTTTTAGGATTTAGGGGGAAAACCGTACAAAAACCACAGGGCATTTAGAAAGATATACAATTCAATGTGCCCCCCCCTCAAAAGCCTGAGCCCCGACGGCCCTGCTAGAGCTATTCATGTGTTTGTAATTCTACTTTTGCGCGCGGCAGCAGAGTCCGAGTCCGTGGCAGGAGAAGTTCTACACCATGGCCTCCCAGATCAAGCTCCTGCTGGACATCCCCGAGCGCATCTGGAGCGCCATGGAGGCGTCCCAGTACCTGCAGGCCACGCAGCTGTACCTGCTGTGCTGCCACCTGCAGGGCCAGCTGCAGCTGGAGCCCGGCGCGGGGGGGCTCTACAGCCCCGTCCTGGCCCGCTTCCCCATCCTGGTGCGGCAGGTCGCCACCACCGGCCTCTTCAGGTGCGCCTTTTTTCCTTAATGTCAAAGTTGGGGTTGTCAAAAGTATTGATAGTCAAAAATGTATCGCTACTAAATCGTTGTATCCGGATACGATACTCATTTTCAAAAGTATTAATACCACCCCCCCACGTGCAGCCAAACTGACCTGCCGACGCTGCGCCCCTTCTCTCTGATTTATTTATTCATTTACGTTGTTTATGATCATTAACGTGACGTTAGCCTTGAATTGCTAGCTGTGGATAATGGCTAATAATAACACGCCAACATTAATCAAGTCTGCAGGAAGCCAAGGAGGGATATCCAACTCCCCCACATCCAAGTCGGCCATTTTGATTAGGTCACCAATAGGAAGATCCCAGGCAGGAAAATCCTAATTGCTTCATGGCAATATAGACATTAATTTAAAAATAATTAAATTAATCTTGCAAACAATTAATTCAACTGTATGCATAATATTATGTTAAAATAGTGGATGTTAAATAGGTTTGTACAATAATTCCAAACAAATTTAACCAAAAAATATTTATTTCTCACAATTATGAAGGGTGGAGGGTTAGGGTTAGGGTCAGGGTCAGGGTAAGGGTTCGAGTTAGTGTCAGGGTTAGGGTCAGGGTTAGGGTCAGGGTCAGGGTTAGGGTCAGGGTTAGAGTTAGGGTCAGGGTTAGGGTCATTAAGGTAGGCCACCAGCCAGGATAACATCAGTAACAGGTCAGTTTGAAACCAAAGACACTAACCTGTCAAAATTCAGTTACATTTTGGGGTCTTTGTGGTATCCAAAATGGTATCGAGTATCGAATATTTTCCTGAGTATCAGTATCGAGTTAAAATTTTTAGTTTCGTGACAACCCTAGTTAAAGGCCGATACCCCAGGACTGCTTTCTGACCGCTCTGCCCCCCCCCTTAGGTCGACCATCCTGCTGGACAGCCGGGCCCTGCTGCGGGGGCGGGCCGTGTCTGACCAGGCCATCGCCGAGGCGCTGGTGTCCATCATGCTGCTGGAGGACAGCTCGCCGCGGCAGGCGCTGGCCGACTTCCTGCTGGCCCGCAAGGCGTCCATCCACCAGCTGCTCAACCAGCCGCAGCACGGTAGCCGCAGACCCCCCCCCGATCCGGCGCCGGCCGTCCAGGGTGGGCGCCCGGTCAGCACTGTGCTGCTTTGCAGGGTCAGGCATCAAGGCGCAGGTCTGCAGCCTGGTGGAGCTGCTGGTCACCACCCTGTTCCAGGCCTACGCCGTCTTCTACCGGCCCCCCGAGGGCCAGCCCTGGCCGGGGGAGGCCGCTCTGGGCTGCGGCATGCTCTTCCACACCCTGGAGAACGTCACCTCCAGCAGCTCCGCAGGTCAGGCACCGTCCGGCACCGTCCAGCACCGTCCAGCACCGTCCAGCACTGTCCGGCACCGTCCGGCCCGAAGGCTTTAGCCAGGGCCGGTCCTCCGTACAGGCCAGGGGCTTTTGGAGGTCTTTCATTTTTTCTGCTATCGCCGTTGTCAAATAACAACTGACTCGGTTTTCAATCTCAGTGGCCCAAAAAGTGGCTGTGCAGGTTTAAATCCAGCATTTTCTGGATTCAACAGTGTTTTATTTTTTTGTACGTTTGTTTAGAAATTAACTTTTTTTTCAATTTCACAATTTTATTTTAATTGAACAACTTTTTTTTACATTTAACGTTTTAGTTTGTTACAAATAAACTTTTTTTCATTTACAGTTTTTTGGGTAACCATTTAACAATGTTTATTACATTTAACATTTTTTTATTGTTTACGTTGAACCTTTTTTCATTTAACAACCCTAAAAAATAAATTAGAAAACTTTTTTGCATTTAACATGTATTTGTTAACATTTAGCATTGGTTTTCATTTTGTCTACATTTAACTTTTCAGCATATCCAGCGTCCAGATGTCCAAGAAGGATATTATTTCAATGAAATGTTTTATATGAACAAAAAAGTTTTTGTTATTTTTTTCTTTTGGGGGGGTGGCAGTAATATCTCTGTTTAACCTTTCCAAAGTATCTAGTTCAATTCAATTCAATTTTATTTCTATAGCGCCACATCACAACAACAGTTGTCTCACAGCTTTCCAAACAGAGCAGGTCAGACCTACTCTGAAGTTAACTACAGAAACCCAACAATTCCCACCATGAGCAAGCACTAGGCGACACAGGCAAGGAAAAACTTCCTGTCCTTATTAACAGGCTATGTGCCACCGTACTTTAAAGTAGCTGTAATTAGTTGTGCCCCTGTTCACTCTGATGAGTTATTACCAGGATCATGCAGTGTGGGAGCCGCCTCATGGCTAACTTTTCCCGTTGTCCCCAGCCAAAGGCAGGAAGGTTCTGCTGGAGGAGACGAGCAGCGGCAGCTGGCACAGGTATCTGCCCCCCTCCATCTCTGAGTTCCAGCCCGCCCTGCGCACCCTGGCCCAGCCCATCCAGAGGGCACAGCTCCGGGACACCCTGCAGCAGTGGATCACCACGTAAGGACCCCGCTCCGCTTTCTGATTTGCATCTGTCATTTGGCCAAATAGATCCTAAAAATTGTTTGAGGCAAAACCAAAAACCATATAGGTTGAAACCTTTTCATGCCTCGGGGGGCTTTGTGAAGATTGAGCACATACGTATGAACGGCCCACCATGTTCTGGGAACACTTACTCATAGTGTGTAAACCTCATAGTAGTTCTATTTAAGAACTTTTTTTTTTTCTCTTTTCGTGTTCACATATAACATTTTGTTTTCATTCGACAACTCAACAACTTTTTTTTGCATTTAACATTTTTTTGTTTTGTTTTCCTTTAACAACGTTTTTTTCATTTAACCACCTTTTTCAAATTTAACAACTAATTGCATTTTGCGTCTTTTTTTGTTCTTATTTAACAATGTTTTTTTACATTTACCACTTTTGTTTGTTTACATTTAACAAAATTTTAAAGATTTAGCAACTTATTGCATTAAACTTCTTTTTTGTTTACATTTAACAATGTTTTTGTACATTTACCGTTTTTGTTTGTTTACATTAAACATTTTTTTCATTTAACAACTTTTTAAAAATTTAGCAACTTACTACATTTTACGTCTTTTATGTTTACATTTAGCAATGTTTTTTTTTACGTCTTTTATGTCTGCGTACCCAGTACCTTTAGATCATTCCGTAAGTGTCTTTTCATAGTCTGTGTCTGGTTTGTTCCGGTCTGTTCCAGCTGTAAGGAGGACATCTGCCACGGTGTGGGAAACCTTCTGGTCTACGTGAAAAGCCTGCGGGGGCTGGCCGCCATCCGGGACGCCGTGTGGGACCTGCTGTCCAGCGACTCCATCAGCCAGCACTGGTCAGCCGTGTGCCAGCGGCTGCTGGACCGGCCGCTGGCCGTCTGGGACAGCCTCCTGCAGCCGCTCTTCCTCCAGCGCCTGCAGGTAAAGGCTTAGTTGGTCATGTGACTCCAATACCTGCTTGAGTTTTTATGTTAGAGTTTGATTTTTAGCTCGCAAATATGTTGTCAGGGAGGGACATTTCCTGGGACTGTCTTTGGTGTTATAGAAACATTTTGGGGGGGGCTGGGTGTGTGAAGGCTGCTCTGGCAGAAATTAAAAAACATTTTCAAAACTGTTGGCGTTTTAACAATCGTCCCACAAGAAATAAACAAAGTGTTGACCTCCTACTATTCGAATTGATATAAATCACAAACGTCTGACAGTGTAGAAATGGAACGCTTTTTTTCGTCAAGATATATTTACTGAGCTTTTTTCATTTTTTAAACAGAAACAGGAAAGTAAAACCTAAATATAGGAAATAATACAAGGGGGAAAAAAACATAAACAAAACATTATCCAAGTGACAAGGCAAAAACATACTGTACCTATAGTTAAACAAAGCAAAATAAAAAGAGAAATAAAACCAAAAAGTCCACTGTGTTGTCCAAACAACATTCAAAACATCTTATTCACAGTCAGAATGCAGAGTTGGTTGTTTTACATGGAAAATAAAAGGACACCATGTCACATCACACTTAGTCACTGATCCATTCAGCGTAATGGAAACTACAAACAAAACAAAACATATCATATCTGCCAAACGAAGGGGGGGTGGGGGTCATTTTTCCAATTTAAAAGAATAAGCCGACGTGCCAGAAGGGAGGAGCAGGACATAGAGTTAGATTCCGGCTTTCTGAGGGAAATATTGTTAATTAATAAACCAAAGAGTCCAACGACAGGGCATGGGTGCACGGCAGCTCCAGAAACTGCTGAATAAACGTAATAAACTGAAGTTCAGAATGCTGTTAGGCTAGGAGATGAGTAGCAGGTGCTAGTTTACGCATTTCACAAATAGGATTAACAGATTTTGACGGTTGGACTATGTAGATTCTGAAATTGAACAAGCCGATGCTTTGCACAGATGGAGGAAGAATGAATTCTTTGAAGTATGTCAGACCACTGTTCTTTACTTACAGTTGTATCCATATCTTTTCCCCAGTCATCTTTACCCAGTGTTCCTTTCACCACCGGTGACGATGGAATGCTTTTCAACAATATGAAGGCCTAAACGCATAGGGCTGGAGTTGAATTACCATTAAATCCCATTGAAATCACCACATCACCAAGGCAATGCAAAATGGCAAAACCCCTGGCCCTGACGGGTATCCAATAGAGTTCTTGATATGTTCGAGGCCTCCTTTAGCATGTGGGTCACTACCAGGCCCAGACCGAAGCTTTCTTTGTTCTGTTAAAACCGGGTAAAGATGGCACAGAACGGAGCTCTGAGTGTTTGTTTGATATATAAACGTAAAAAAAAAAGAGCAATACTCTAAGACGGAGTGGGAAAGAAAGAGCAATCATTCTGCAGTCGCTATCCTCAGCGGGCAGCGTTTGTAGAGTTGAAACATCCCTCCAGTATTAAAAAATATCAGCAGGTCTTTGACAATCAGCCTCAAATGATCCAGATCACATTGCTTGCATGGGTGGGATTTCCCAGAAACAGGAAGACAAATTAATAACAGAATGCATATGTCTATTTTTTGTAATAGAATCTTGAGTATAATTGATTTAATTGAAGGGGTTACACACGGGAAACCAAAAATTCCCGCTCTTTCTCAAGTTTAATCTTACTATCTTGCTTCTAACCTTAACTTTGAACTTGTTGGAAACTCAAATGGTGAACTCAAGTTTAAATGGTTGCTGAGGTTCAGTTAGTTAGTTCATAAAAAGCACAAACTAGCGCACCGCTGTTCTCAGTTCCACTGACTCCCGCCTTTCATTCCCCCCCCAAAAAGGCCATCACCAAAGAAGAAACCGAGGCCATCTCGGCGGTCTCGGTGGAGCTCCTGGACGCGGCGGTCAGGGACCTGGCCGAACAGGCGGCTTCTTCATCCGGGGGGGGCGCCCACCCGGCCCCCAGCCGGGGGGGCCAGTACGAGGTGGACGTGGCCTCCTTCGTGTGGAGCGAGTCCCCGGGAGACCTGCTGAGCGACGCGGGCTGGGTCACGGTGGCCCAGCGGGGGGACCGGCCCCAGAGGGGGGGCCTGGCCATGAAAACGCAAGCCCTGACCCCCAGTGTCCAGAACTTCTGCTCCGCCTTAGACGCCAGGCTGAAGACCAGGCTGGAGGACCTTCAGTACTACCTACCCTCCGATGACTCAGGTGGGCCCCATTTGATTTACTCTAAAAAAATCAATTTTTTCCAGTCAGAACCTTTTAATGGTGCATAGCAAACGATTCACCAAAATAAAAGACTGGGCATTTGTTTAAATTGTCAGTAGGAACACCCTCCAGGTGGTATCCGAATAAAGGTATGAGTACAATACCTTGATCATGAGGAAGGAAAAAATATTTGCTCTTTGGGAACCATGATGGAAAACCTCTACTTTTGGTGAAATAACACATTATTCTGTAAAGGCCATAATGGTTCCTACTGGAGCTAGGGGTTGTCACTATACTAAAATGTTCAACTGGATACCGATACTCAGGAAAATACTTGATACTCGATACCATTTCCGATACCACAAGGATAAAAACAAAGACCCCAAAATGTAACTGAATTTCGACAGGTTAGTGTCTTTCATTTCAAACTGACCTATTACTGATGTTATCGTGGCCGGTGGCCAACATTAATGACCCTAACCCTGACCCTAACCCTGACCCTAATCCTAACCCTAACCCTGACCCTAACCCTAACCCTCCACCCTTCATAATTGTGAGAAATAAATATTTTTTGGTTAAACTTGTTTGGACTTATTGTACAAACCTATTTAACATCCACTATTTTAAAATAATATTATATGTTTGCAAGATTAATTTAACTGTTTTTAAATTAATGTCTAAATTGCCATTAAGCAATTAGGATTTTCTATCCTGGGATCTTCCTATTGGTGACCTAATCAAAATGGCCGACTTGGATGTGGGGGAGTGGGATATCCATCCTTTGCTTCCTACAAGCTGAAGCCAGACGTACGTTATTAATGTTAGCATGTTATTATTAGCCATTAGCTGCAGCTAGCAATTCAAGGCTAACGTCACGTAAATGATCATAAATAACGTAAATAAATAAATAAATCAGAGAGAAGGGGCGCAGCGTTGGCAGGTCAGTTTGCGCGTGCGTGGGGGGGTGGTATCGATACTTTTGAAAATGAGTATCGTATCCGGATACAACGTTTTAGTATCCATACTTTTTTGACTATCGATACTTTTGACAACCCTAACGGGAGCGCTGTGATGGACTGGTAGACTGTCCAGAGTGACCCCACCTCTCGCCCACTGACCACTGGGATAGACTCCAGTCCCCCCACGACCCCGTTAGGGAATAGGAGGTTATGAAAATGGATGAATGGTTTCTACTGAATCATGACAGAAAATCTTTTGACAATAAAGCTCAGCAAAAATGCAATAAACATGTATTCCATTTTTTTGCTAGGGCTACTGGATGGATACCCATTAGTGGCTGTATTGTAGTAGTTGTTCATTATTGTAGACATAGACATAGACTTCCTTTATTGTCATTGTCAAAAACACAAGGTGAATTAAACAACGAAATGTCAATTTCTTGGCTACCAGAGTAAAATTTTTAGCAACGATAAATCAATAAATATGTTATTGTAGTGATAAATGTGCATATTTCCTGCTCTCCCTGGCAGGATCGGACTCTAACTCGCGTCCGGCCTCCTTCTCGGGGCCTTCGTCGTCCTCGTTTGACCGCTTCACGGACGCCGCGGCCGTGGAGGAGGCTCTGAGCGAGGGCTGCGCGGCCTGCGTCCGCTCCGTCCTGTCGTCCGTCCGCTCCCGGCTGACCGCCGCCGCGCCGGACTCCCCGCCGGTCAGCCTCAGCTCGGTCCTGTTCATGGCCAGGCTGTGCCACTCCCTGGGGGAGCTCTGCCCCAACCTCAAGCACTGCATCATGGGAAAGCGGAGCGCACCGGGGGGCGGGGCCAAAGGGGGCCCCCGGCCGAGCAAGAAGCTGGGGAAGTTTAAGGCCGCCCCCGAGGTCAGCCCCGCCCAGGCCAAGTGGGCCGGCCTGAAGGAGGAGCTCCTCCGCTGCAGCATGGAGGCCTACCGGAGGTGGAGCTCCGCCCGGGCCCAGGTCAGACCTCAGGAGAAATATAGAAGTACTGTAATCCCTCGTTTATCGCGGGGGTTACGTTCCGAAAATGACCCGCGATAAGTGAAATCCGCGAAATAGAAAACTTTTTTTTTTTTTTTTACAATTAGCAACTATTACATGTATACAAATACAGTGTCGCTCTTTTTTCTTCTTTGCAAAAAGATCCTTGTACACCGACATGCCACCATCGATTACGCTGGAGAACTGTAATGAACGGCTCATCAAAGGGTCCCATTCCTCAGCTACTCGCTTAAGTTCAGTGGCCATTCGCACCATGGTTGCTAAGCGACCAAGCGTTAGTCCTATGTTTTGATACAAGAAGCGGGAGTGAGTTTTTAGCGAATCAGAATGCAGAGCACAATGCACCAAAAAAAAAAAAAATGCATTATGAAAATCCGCGAAATGGCGAATCCGCGATAAGTGAACCGCGAAGTGGCGAGGGATCACTGTACAACTGTAATCTGATATGCGGTGTCTGATATGAGGATTGTTTCTGTTCAGGAGCACAGAAACTTTTTTTACTTTTTTTAATTGATTTATTTCTTTAATCAGGACAGTGCACATTAATGAACAATCTCATACAGATTGTAAATGATCCAGATTCTAGCATAGTTGCTAATTTACATCTGTCGTCCTGAGGCAGGAAGACCAGACAACACAAAATCACAAAATACAAAATCAGTCCAAACACACGTTCAGACAATGACATTACAAAATTAAAATCAATTCAATTCAATTTTATTTATATAGCGCCACATCACAACAACAGTTGTCTCACAGCTTTCCAAACAGAGCAGGTCAGACCTACTCTGAAGTTAATTACAGAAACCCAACAATTCCCTGACGCTATGTAGCAGCATAGTAGGAGTAGTGGGTCGTTTTTTTAGCAGGAGAACAAAATAATTACTCAAAAAACCCACCGATTTGGTGACATTTGTTGATTGTGAACATTGTAGCCATTTAAACTTAATCAGGTAGAATTGGTTCAATCTGAATGCAGCCTTGAATAATGTGGGGGCTGAACACTAAACGTTGGTTTTGCTTCGGCAGGTGCTGCTGGATAAGTTTGGCGGGGAGCTCCACGCCGATTCCGCCGGGGCCGTCCTCTCCACCATGACAAACTGGGAGGAGCGGGAGATCCAGGAGGAGACCGAGTCCGGCACCAGCGTCACATCCAAAATCCGCCTTCCCGTCCAGGTGGGGGGGGGGGGGGGCCCAGACCAGCCAATGGGCACAGAGAGCAGAGGCTTCCAGCCCCGTGACGGGCCCCATGCTAACACGTTTCCTCTCATGTCCTCCCTCAGCCGTCCTGGTACGTGCAGGCTCTTCTGTTCGAGCTGTGCGTGGAGGTGAACCGGGTGGGGGGCCACGCCCTCCCCCGGCCCACCCTGCAGGAGCTGCTGCAGCTCTGTCTGGACCAGGCTCTACAGCACTACCACGGGCTCATGGAGCAGCCCCCCACGGCGGTAGGTGGCCAATATGTCACAGAATTACCAACATGATTCAAGCCCGTGGCGCATATGAGGGGGGGGGGATTTCACTTTTGTATACCTGCAGATGTAGCTTCTTTATTTTTTGTGGACACTTACAGATTAAAAGAGAGCAATGGCAGCATGTGCCCGGATAGAGAAAGCCAACAATACCAAAAATGTCAGCAGTAATTGAACACAACTCACATTAAAATGTGTTCTTTTTTAAAGAATTCTGCTCATTTTTTTAAAAAATGAAAAAATTTAAACGTAATGATTATTTTGACTGACCTGTTAAAATAGAGGTAACATTTGGAATTGGATTTCCATTTGGCCCTAATATTCTGCTACAATCTATATGGTAACAAAGAACATTATTGAATAAAATGGGAATACGGACACAGCTCACTTAAGCTTTATGACTTTCTCTCCCTCCCAGGGTGCGTTCCCTATGACTCAGAACAGAGCCTTGCAGATGCTGTTCGACCTGCGATACCTCAGCACCACTCTGAGTTGCAGATTTGAGGAGACAAAGAGCTCCCGCTCCCACCAAGACCCCAGGTACAAACCCATAAGACGGTTTCTTGCAAACGATTGTGATAAAATGGCTTATGGTCTTATGGTTATCGTTTCCCAGAGGGTGATCTCATGCCATTTCCACACTGTAATAAACATGTTTAAATGTTTTTTTCTTTTTTAAACATGGGGGAACACTTAAAAACCAGCTTATTAAAATCTCCCCCATTCTGTGGGGTATCAGGTTTATCGTCAGAGTTCTGAGGGTGAAAACATAGTTATCCTGTAGGTCATATCTGACCACCTAGAGGACAGGAATGGTAGTTGGAAACATTAAAGATGCAGACAACATTTTCCTCTGCTGTGTTTTTGAAAATCACCATTCAATCAGGCTCGTTGTTACCTTTGATTGAACTTGCAGACATAACACAGTGTTGTTAAGAAAGAGAATCATCTTCTAGTGGATTTTAGGCAATTTGTTCACCTTTTTTGTGTATAATTGTGTGTATCTTCTAGATTCCTAAAGATCTGTGATTGGCTGGAGGGATTCATCGATCCCTTTGACTTGGACGTGTTCACACCTCCTCTGAACACCAACCTCAACCGCCTCTCCCAAAGGACCTCGGTACTTACATCCACAGATACATGCTGAAAT